GGTTAACTTAAATTATGTGATATAGGAATGTACTGAAAGACAGAGGTAGGTCACAGAACTGAGGAAAAGCTGAAGAATTAGGTCTTTAGAAACAAATAACAGCAGCTCCAGTGTCTAGATAATAGGAATTAACCCATGGTTTTTCTTCTTTTTCTTTATTATTATTTTTTTAATCCATTGTTTTAATGAAGGAGCCATGACTGTCTATCACTGTGTCATTCAACCTAAGATTCAAATTAAAAGAGTAATTCAAGCTTGTTCATCCGTGGACAGCCTTGCCTTAGGCTTTAACTTGAGCAGATATCTGTTTGCTAGTAATGTCTACTCTTTTGTCTTTTTAGGAGCACTTTGTATGTACTACATTCTTCAGACATTTGACAATAACCTTCAGGTCTTCGAGATTTCTCTTCTCTTCAGGTTAAAGTCTGCCAGATATTTTAACTTTTTTTAAAGTGACATGGCCTCATGTCATGTAACAGTGAGTTAAGGGAATCTCAGCTGCAAGGCAAAAAACAGACTTTGGTTAACTTAAATTATGTGATATAGGAATGTACTGAAAGACAGAGGTAGGTCACAGAACTGAGGAAAAGCTGAAGAATTAGGTCTTTAGAAACAAATAACAGCAGCTCCAGTGTCTAGATAATAGGAATTAACCCATGGTTTTTCTTCTTTTTCATTATTATTATTTTTTTAATCCATTGTTTTAATGAAGGAGCCATGACTGTCTATCACTGTGTCATTCAACCTAAGATTCAAATTAAAAGAGTAATTCCAGCGTGGTGCTGACAACACCAAGCCAAGGGTTGAGATCCCCTGACCGGTCATCTTTTAAAAATAAATAAATAAATAAATAAATAAAAAAGAAAGTTATATAACTAGTATAAGTTCTCAAAGTTTAAAGTAGTAGAACCAGAACTTGAACTTCGTTGTTGGTGTTTCTACTATACTGTCTTCAAAAGTTAAAAAAACAAACAAAAAAGTGGTATGTGGACTTTAACCCTATCCTCAAGTCACACAAATGAAGCTCAAACACAAGAAGGGGGAAACTGCCTGTTGTTTCACATCTTTAGAATGTTAGCTAGAAGGCTAACTAGATATCCGGAGAAGGCTGGGAACTGTTAAGGAAAAAAGCACTTCTCTTAGCCCTAATTGGAAATCAGATCTTTTCCAAGAATAAGACTTCTGATAAATGAATTGGTGCTTTCAATCTCATTTTTTTTTTCTTGACCAAACCACTTTAATTTACAACTTATTTACAACTTTAATGTACAATATAAAGTCTGTGATTTCTTGAAATTCTCACCTGGCTCTTGAAAAGAGCTGAGTCTACAATTTCAATCATCATCATCAGGAAGGATACCTAATTCTTCATCTGTCTACAGGTAAGGATCTGAATATGGAAAGTGACCCAGCACAGCATCTGAGTCATGCCAAAGGCGCCACAGAATCCACAACCACATGGTTATGCTGAAGAGGTGTGGATCACCTGGGATCTGGTCAGCTGTGGAAGCTGTCTATACCAGGGCTCTGCGTCCAGCCACCTGGGCATGGCAGCATCTGAAGAGGCGGCCTCCAAGCCAATGAAAGGCACCAGCTGGGTCAGAGTCTACATGCTAGCCTGCGTCCCAACAGCCATCCCCACTTAATCTCATTTCTGATGTTATTCTTATTGATAAGGCTATTTAATGATTCCAAAGAAGTTAACCTCCCAAAACAATTCACATCATTAGCAGAGAGAAAAATACAAATACAAAACATACATCACAAACACTTGGAAAAAGCAAGAATGTGTATATAACTGGAAGAGAGGCATACTGTTAGAAGTGAAGACAGTTAACTGTCCCTACTGAGAAGAGGTTAATGTCTCTCTCCTCATTTATGAATGGTGACCATAAAGTAATGAGCCTAAATTTTCAAAGAAAGGAGGTAATTATATGTGTACTTTCAAAAAGCTGGTGCTGTCAAAATCAGTTCATAAGCCACACTGAAAATTCAGTTTCATTATTTCAGTTATATGCCACTACTGAAAGTACTAGTACCTACCATGTGCTGAACACAACAATCCTATGAGGCATTCATTCAACAAATATTTATTGATCACCTACCACTGTTCTAGGAGACAGGTGAGTTGGTGAACAAGACAAAAGCTCTGCATGTCACAGAGATTACATTCCAGACAGGTATTGCAAAGAAGCGATTGAGGCTCAGTTTCCACTTCTGTCAGGCTCTAAAGCCTACACTGTATCTTTCAACAACGTCATCTATTGCTGGAAATATACAGCTTTGCCCATAAGTATACAACTAAGCATGCAATTTTTTTTTTTTTTTTTGTCTTTTTCCGTGTCCGGCAACGGATCACAACCCTCAGTGTCGCCACCAGACCGGGACCGGCAACGGGATCGCAGCCCTCGGTGCTGCCCCCGCGCCTCGCTCAGTCAGTGAGTGGGAACCGGTCTGTATGTGGGATCCGAACCCTCGGCGGGAGCGCCGCCACACTTCCCAAGCGGTGCACTATAGCAGTGCGCCACCGGGCTGGCCCGCAATTCTGACACTGTTGTCTAGAACAACTTAAGGTTTCTCTCTGTTGGCAGTCTGGTGTCACCTGTTCAATGAAGTGTTCCTCTACCAGGACTAGAGACAGCCCTATCAGCAATTAACATATCATATTGACAAAGATGAACTACTTTCTCTCCCTCAGTAGTCCCTAAACTCCCTCACAACAAGAACCATGTTTTAGCCACCTTTATAAGTCTAGAAGATGGACACACAGTAGATATTTGATAAATGGTTGAGTGAAGTTCTTGAGAGCACTTTCAATAAAGGATGGAAGCCATACTGGAATGAACTAAGGAGTAAATGGAAGAGAAGGGAGTAGAATCTGCTTTTTAAAGACAAGTCTAGAAAGGAAAAGAAGCAGTAATAATTTAAAGGAGAAATATGATCACAGGAAAGTTTTATATATTTTTTAAATAAGGAAGACAAATATATTTGTTGATAAAGTAGTACAGCACAGTCGAAAGAGCAGGAGTTTTGAAATCAGACTTGAATTTGAATTCTGGCCCTGTCACTTACTGTGTCTATGGGAAAATCACTGAACCTCGATGCCTCAACTTACACATATATAAAATGAGAAGGATAATTACCTACAGTTCACTGTGACAGTTAAAATGCCTGGTAAACAAAAGGCATTCAACAAATGGTATCAACGACTATTAGTGCAGGTAGAAGCTTGGACTCTGGTGTTCTAACCCCTCCCACATATCTTGTGGTCCAATCCAGATGTCCTGTGAAATTCTATGTGCAATACGTGATGGCAAAGAAACGGGATCTTTATTTCTTCTGTGTGTACCACTCTCTGTGCTATTACCATTTCCTTGTGACAGTCTGCATGAGCTCATGAATGCCTGCTGTGGAAAATTACTTACAATCTGGAGAATAAACAGATGTTAAATCATGAAATGTACAAATTTTGGGCTCCTGCCAAAACCCTCTCTGAGAACTAAAAGAAAACTTGAAAACACAAACACACAGAACATTTCTTAAGTTTATGAGCCAGTAAGGTGTTCTTGCATCTGCTCCAGGCACAGAAAGATGGCTGTATAATAAAAGAGATGATTATCTCCCGAGTTCTTTTCCCAATATTTCAACCTGTCAGGTTCCTTTCTGTGTCCCCAGTTCACTTTTCTATCAACCTGAGAAGTTCCCAAATTCACAAGGTTAGTATGTGCTTTTATACTGAAACAATTTTTTGTTCACAGCCTTTTAAAGTTAATGTTCTGGTCATGAGTCATGTTCACCTATTACCCATATCTGACCAACTGAAACACATCATCCCTCCTCCCTCCAGATCACACACTTACATGCTTAAAAAGAGTCAGGAAAGAAGACTAAAGCTTAGGCTAATTCGATAACCTGTGCTGAAAAAGCTATATTCATTCAGGATTATCAAAAGACAGGAAAGATATCGACCTATATTTAGAATTAATTACAAATTATTCATGAAGGACACAAATGCATATGTAAAACAAATAAGATGTAATAGAGTTCAGAGAGAATTGGAAGGAAAAGAGATGAGGAAGAAGTAGGAAACATGTACCTACAAACTTAATTACAAACATAGTCACAAAAGCTACAAATAAAGAAGTGAAAGTTGAAAATTCAGTTTTTGTGACTCAGAGTCTGATTAGGAACTTGAATTTACCAAGAAAGAATAAGAAAGAAGAGCAAAAACATTCCAGGACATATCTAAATATCCCACCAAAAACCAAAAAAGACCCAGCAGCCGACCACAAATTTCACGTGCAGCACGAGAGTGAAGCTACGATATACGGTCATCCAGTCACAGAAAAGAAACATTAAAACGTCTTTATTTTTATTCCTATATAAAAAGCAGCCTGGATCAGTAAACTAAGTACGAGACTCGTGTGCAGCACTCCAACCCTAACCTCACCGCGCGATCCCGGCTAGCGCACGCCTCAACTTCCGCAACGGTAACACAGCCACATGTCAGAGTGCGTTCCGAGCCTCGGCCTGCTTCGGAGCGCGTGTGCAGAACCTGGATCTGAACCTTAAATGTAAAGCCCCACGTTAAACCTGAGGAATAGTCTGCACCTGTAAACGTGCCCGTGGCGGCCATACTTAAAGAAAAGTCCCCTCATCAGGCGCACTTTCTGTAACACCGCTCCCAGCTGCCAGAGGGGGTGGATTCCGGCTCGTGCCCCCGAGCACCTCAGCGCGGAGGTGGCCAGCTCCCGGGATGCCGCCCCGCAGGCCGGGCCCGCCGCACACCGAGGGCCGCGCGAGCCTCCTCCCACCGGCTGTGCGAGCGAGGCCGACCGGCTGCTCTCCGGCCCGAGGCGGTGCTTCTCCCCCGCCCGCACCTTCGGCACGTCCGTCCGTCCGTCGGTCAGTCACCCTGACCACAGCCGCTCTGCGGCCTCCACCGGAGGGGAAAGTGTCGGCGCCGGGCCAGCTTTGACCGACCCCCGCACCGCACTCACCTGCCCCGCGGGCCGCCCCGCCGGCTGCCTCAGCGCCAACCCCGTGGGCTCTCTGCTCCGCCGCTCGCTCCAGTCAGCGCTCAGCTGGGCCTCCGCGCACGCGCGGCAGGGCGGAGCCACGGCGGCCGCGGGGCATGTCGGGTGCTGTAGTCATCCCGACGGTTGGGCGGAGCCTGCCGAGAGCTGGCGTAGGCGACCTTCGAAGACCGTTTTCAACCGTGCTCTCCTCCACAGTCTGCATCTCAGCCAGAGAAGCTTAGAGCAATGTGGGGTGGGCCAGCAATCAAGATGGGGGGTAGACGCTGCGGAGCGAGAAAGAGCGGCCCTTGTTTGCTCATTTTCTAAATACGAGTATTTAACTCCCTTTGTAGGTGCACAGAACAAGTCTCAAACCCGCCGAATCCACTCCTACACAATTCACACCAAGGATAATTATCTCAAAACAATTATGTAATCCTCCATCACTTTTCCCTTAAAATTCTTTGTCTTCCTTTTCCTCCCTGAATACGCACAGTTTACTATGGCATGAATATTCCCATTGCAATGTTATACTCCCAATTAAACTCATTTTTCTTTTACTGAACCACTCTCTGTTGTTTAGGTTAACATGGGAAAATGCAATTTTTTTTTTTTGTCCTTTTTGAGACCGGCTGCACCGCGCTCAGCCAGTGAGCTCTGTGAGCGCACCGGCCATCCCTATATAGGATCCGAACCCGCGGCGGGAGCGCTGCTGCGCTCCCATCGCCACAGGCTCCCAGCGCCGCACTCTCTCTCTCGCCGGGAAAATGAAATTTCTGAAGCGTCAAAACTCAATGACTGAATGATGCTAATTTCTGCACAGGCCCGTCATGTTTCTGCAATACCTATTACCATTTAATTTTTGCCTACTTTTCCTACAGACTTAATAGGGAACTAAAGACTTGTCAATACTGTTACCAAATAAAACGTCCAGTCCTTCCCTAGCAGTCCGGTGGAGCATTTGTCAGAGATCATCACTGGATAGGTCTAAAGTTCACAAGAGACAGAAGACAAATACTCCCCTTTTAAGGAATGGTATACTGGCTAACAATTGTATGAAACTCACCTTTGTAAATGCTGTGTAAGAACTCTACACACACGTTTAGCTTCCATTAGTCAGACAACAAAAGGGGGAAAGAAAAATGCCAAATTCTTAAAACTTTACTAGAACAGCACTAGGGCAAGGTCCTTCTCAATCTTGGCAATGCCAAATGGGTGTAGATGGAGCCAGGTATATTGCAGTAATTCAACCAAGCACCCCACAAGTGAGAAAAGCAGCAGCCGCCCAACATGGACAGTAAATATGAGATGCTTCACCAGCTAAATACCAAGAGAAACAGTATTGAAAAGCTGTACCATTTCAAGAGCACCTTTTCTCAGTGTAACATACATAACTTTATATGTGTTCAGAGGTTGAATTATGTCCTACTTAAGGAGCCACTCTCACCACTTTGTGTTCAGTCTGCTTCCTGCACTGGAACCATAAGCTCCAGGAAGGCAGACTGTCTTGCCTACTACTGCATTACCAGCCACAGTAGGGAACTCAAAAAAATATTTATTGAAGTATAAAGCCTGGATCAGAAATAAAACTTTGTAAATACTTGTTTCCTCAAGGTTATCAAAAAAGAAATGAAGCTTTCTAAACGCGAAGTATATTTTACCTTTTTTTCTTGAAAAAAAAAAAAAAAGAGCAACTTAGTTATTTAATGAACCATGGGATAAATTCTTCTATTTTTTATGTTTGGATATTTTATGTTAGGAGTATATTTTCCTATACTCCTAAAACCAGCACTATCCTAATTACATCTTTTAAAAGACAGCTGTCCTATAAAAGTTTAAAAGCATGAGAGAGGTATAACACTTTCCCATAGTTTTAAATTTTGATAGAATATTTCTCAGTGCCCTAGAGCCACAGCAATGAAAGAACATTTGTGGATGGAAACTGACTGAAGCCTTCATGGTCCAGTGTCTCTCCCAATCTCACACATTGGCCACTTAATACCACTGTTCAATAATAGCCAGTTAATCCCTAGGCAGTCTCTCATGCGGATTAAGGACAAGGGTGCCTGAATAGTTCTTAAGGATCTCTTCAAACCTCTCCTTCCACTCCATCTCGGGATGGGATATTACTGAACCACAATTTCTGCCCCACTGCGTAAGAGGAAGGCCCGATGCCACTACAAACATAGAGAACTTGCACAGCCAACTAAGGCAAGTCAGAATCTGAAAGGCCAGATCAAATGTGGGTTTTCCATGAGAAGTGACAGAGAGACCCTCATACTGGTTTTTATCCACACAAAAACTCATTTCTCATTTGACCTTTTGCTCAAGTAATCATGCATATCTGAGGTGATGATCTTGAAATCTTGGCCAGAAACCCAGCTCAGTTTCTTGAGTTTGGACTTTCCATGAAGGCAAATTACCATCCATATTCATCACTTAAACCTTTTTAAGAAATTTCACCTCTAAGAATTTCTCTGTACACAGACAGCATTAGAGGTAAGGATGTCACACCAGATCCAGAGTAGAGAAACCAAATTCTGCTTTGACTTCTACTTACTTAATTCAGAATTTGCCAAATTTATGGGCTAAATTTTGAATCCATTCGACTGTATCTCTAATTTTAAAAAAAACATACCTTGCAAGTAATATATATGAATTCTACTATCTTAAAAATAATGTATGGGCTAGCCGATTAGCTCAGTTGGTTAGAGTGCAGTGCTATAACACCAAGGTCAAGAGTTTGGATCCCCACATCAGCCTGCGTCCCCTCCCCCCCCCAAATAATGTATGTTATGACTAAATGTAACTCCTGTTCCAGATGGGATCCTAGAATGGAAAAAGGACATTAGCTAAAAATATTAGTTTGTAAATTTTCTTTCTTTAAAAATTTTTATTGAATCATAATTGATTATACATATTTTTGGGGTTCAACGTTGACATATGTTGATCAAATCAATATTACTAGCACATATTGTTACAAATCATATTTATTCTTTATGCCCCTGTCCAATCTCTATCTCCCTCTCCCTCCTACCTCCCACCTCTGATAACCCTAGATGTCTTCTCTCCTCGGTTCAACGTTGACATATGTTGATCAAATCAATATTACTAGCACATATTGTTACAAATCATACTTATTCTTTATGCCCCTGTCCAATCTCTATCTCCCTCTCCCTCCTACCTCCCACCTCTGATAACCCTAGATGTCTTCTCTCCTTCTGAAAGAGTAATGGTTACTCTGTTGAACTGTTGCCTAGGTGATCTTTCCAATGCTGAGAGGTGTGTTCAGGTCCCAAAATATTATCGTAGAGCAGATGCTTCTTCTGTCACTCTGGAATGGCTTTGTGGAGAGAGACATCCTCTTCTTTTCTTTGGTCTCTGCTGGTGACTCTCCTTATGTCAATGCACTCCAGTGGCTGGCAGACCATCTGCATGGTGGTTGTGCCATCTAGCCACTTTCACAGCAGCTGTGGTGGGCCACCCGCATAGAGGTGATGTTTTTGGCACTCTCCTCCATGCTGGTGGTATGCCTGGTTGTAGGGCAGGTTCCAGTCTCTGGGTTGGCCCCAAGGCGCTGGCCATGTGCCTGGTTGTGGGAGGGGGGCCCAGTCCCCTGCTCCATACATCAGCACCCCAGGTGGGCCCCGAGGCACTGGCAGTGTGCCTGGGCCAGAACTAATTTTTTGTCTTTTGCTTACTTCTAAAATGGGGGAACTTCCTGTGGGGACCAGTACTTGAGCTGTGTGGTTTAGCTAAATTGTTGCTTTGCTGCTGATTCCTTAGGAATCAGGGAAGGCTTTTTGTGCAGCTCAGGTTTTAATGGTTGACTTTATAGGTACTTCCAGCTCTCCAGAGACCCGCTGCACCTAGGTTGTGTAGAAACTCTGATCTGTGTCTGAGTCTTTTCATCAAACTGTGTCCCATGGGCCGGCCTGGTGCCGCACTCGGTAGAGGGCGGCGCTTGGGAGCGTGGCGGTGCTCCCCCCCAGGGTTCGGATCCCATATAGAGACCATCCGCTCACTGGTTGAGCGCGGTGCGGGCGCAACACCGAGGGTTGCGATCCCATTGCCGGTCACGAAAAAAAGACAAAAAGGAAAAAAAAAACTGCGTCCCATGCAATTCTATATTCCTGACTAGCCTCCCCTGAGTGGTCTTTTGCTGACTGGGTTACCAGTCAGCTGTCCTTGCTGTACTCATGTTCCCCTGGTGGGCCCATCTCCCCCACTGCCTGTGCTGCAAACACTCTGTATGGGACAGGCCATGTGCTGGACCCTTGCAGTTACTCACTGGCCTCTGAGTGGCTTCTTTTTTTTCAGTTGTTGTGGCCCCTTGCTCCTATGTGGGTCCACAGGAACCCTATTAGTGGCCTTGCTGGCCAAGGCCCTCTTCTCCCCTGCCGCCTCCAAGCAACTTCATACGAAGGGCACAGCTGTGGCTTTTGCCAGCTCCTACTCTATGTACTCAGCAGCTCCAGCCTTAAAGTGGCTGTGGCACAAAATGGTCGGAGCGGTTTTTTCTCTTTCTTATCATGGCTTCTCCCACCTTCATGCACTCTA